TGAATGTTTTAATTTAAGTTCGTTAATTTTTAGTTTGATTATAGAAAGTAGTCAACAAAAAGTAGCCTTACAGTTGTCAATTAACCGATTAGTCATGGCGCGCATCCATCTAAAAACCCTTTCTAAATGTGATTTTTCAGTATATTTAAATTTTAATGACATCGGATTAAATAGGATTACCGGTTTTGACATCGTAAATATTCTCCATATTCTCTTTTGACTTTAAATACAGATTTCTGTCACCTTACATTTATATTAGGTTTTGGAAATTTGTCTGAACTCTGGTTTTATCTCTGGCCGTGAAAGGAAAAGGAGAGATCTCCCGCCGGACAAGGTGTTCTGCACGGGGACGGCCAACGCTCCGAGTGCTATTTTGGAGCTATTCTATACATACTGCTTTACTTCAGAAATGTGATAGCGTGATTTAGGCTTCGATGTGATTCGCTTGTGGCGCGACGACAGCGCCTCCACATATCTATCGACTGTAACTAAAGTTCCGGATGCCTGTCGTATTTATATGTTCATAAAAAATTCAGATCTCTGTTCAATTTTTCAGCAAATTTTCAGTAGTATTTTACATTTTTACCGGAAAAGTTTTGTCACAAGTTTAACCTATCAATATTTGGACATAAAATTTGTAAATATACTACCCTGGGACTAATTTAGTTTTCGTTTCAGTATGTTTCGACCTTGACTTTTTTAATGATATCACTTTTTGTTTTGCATTGTATGCCTTTGCATTTTCTATCGCGTTTTTTTTATAGGATAAGGGTGACAAACGAGCACACAGTCCACCTGATGGTAAGTGGTTGCTGCGGCCCATAGACATCCACATCTATCTTCTATTACAAATCAAAATGCAGATGCGTTGTCACCCGCGAAGACTAAGATGGAATGCCTCATTTCCAGTAGAAAGGGCCTCCGGCCACCTTCACTCACCAAGCGAAACGCAGAGGTAAACCTCTACTTCACGCTGGTATTCTGTGAGGTCGTGGTACCATCCCGGTTCGAGCCGGCCCATCCGCGCGACAGAAAAAGATGCCGCGTTACCACTGTTAACTGTAGTCTGTTGCTGTAGTAACTGTCTGCGGAATTGTTCGGATTCATTCCAGCCGCCAAATTCCACCAACGCACATCGCGACAAAATTCCCGATACCATCCACACCATCTGGATGCGAGCCACCACTGTGCGATTCACTAGGAGTTTTATGCCACGCACGACTTAAGAAGTCGTGCGTGGCAGTCGTGTTGAATTGTTCACCATCGGCGATCTTTCTGGACCGATACCACTTAGAGACCTTTAAAAACCGTACTTGCTCCTTTTTAAAAGGCCGGCACGACACTTACAATTCCCTTGGTGTTACAGTTGCTCAAAGGCGGCGGTCGACGCTTTAAATTAGGTCAGCAGCATGCTCGTTTGTCTGCACTCCTATAAAAAAGACACAGAAAAGAACGATAGCACTGCTAATTTAAATTTAGACCAAAAACCTGAATTTGTAACCGACTAATTAAAATATTATTTCCAATTCTATGTTCATTTATAACGTTCTGACCGTTGAAGGATATTCGATAACACTTGAAGCCTACCAATGCGAACTGGAAAAGCATGTCAGATAATAGATAGTACAAATTTACTGCGTTGAATTGAATGTGACTTTAGAGAACTGGCATGTTTTAGCACTTGGTTTATTTTTAGTTATTCCCTTTGAACTTTGGAATCTTTTTTGCTAAAGATTTCTCTTATATCTTATATTTTTTCAAATATTTATTCTATTTTATTATCCACCAACGTTTACCACTCCTCAATTGTTGGAATCAATTTGTTAGTTTGTATAACCAACATTATGACAGATAATTTGAATATTGTCATGATTTCTGGAACGTAGTCTGCAGAAAAGTCACAAATATACTTCTAGACTACATCAGATAGCTTTTTAGTATGAATGTATTATTTATATATGTAACTTTAATTTTTTTTTATATGAGAGGAGGCAAACGAGCATACGGCTCACCTGATGGTAAGTAACTACCGCCCCCCATGAACAACTGCAACACCAGGGGAATTGCAAATGCGTTGCCAGCTTTTAAAAAAAGAGTAGGCTCTTTTCTTGAAGGTCCCTAAGTAGTATCGGTATGGAAAAATTGCTGGTGGTATTCGATTTCACAAGGAAGTTGTGCGAAAAATAAAACCTCTTATAAATCGCATCGTAGTAGATCGCCAATCGTCCAGATGGTACGGATCGTATTTCAAGTTTTGTCGCGATGTGCTATGGTGAAATTGAGCGTCTGGAATTAGTCCGAACAATTCCTATGAGCACTCCCCGTGGTAGATACGATAGAATACGCAAAGAGATGCAACATCAAGAGATCAACATCAACACTGGGGAGCCCCGGCCAGGAATCTGAGGAGACAGGATAAAGGAGTTCTTTTTAGCGGTAAACGCGCAAACTAGTGTCTTCTGAGGATTGAACTGGACTAGATTTAGTCACCTCCAATCAGAGACTTTGTTTTATTTGTAATCGGAGCATGCACCGACTACTACGACATTGATCAATCTTGACTAATCGTCAAAGCGTCTCATTGGACTCCATTGCCTGCACCCATTTGTGTGTTAGAAGAAGATCACCATCTGAGCGACTCCGACGGAAACCGTACTGGTAGTCATGCAGCTGGTGCTCCTAAGGCACCGCATGAGCTGGCAGTTAATAATGGACTCCATTATTTTTGAGAACAAGGAGGTGATGACGATAGGCCTGTAGTTGAACGGATCAGAGCGGTTACCTTTTTTAGAAAGCTGTCTTCCATGAACACGTGACCATGCTTAGGGAGTAGGAGTACCGGAAAAGACGCGTTAGAACCGATGCCAACTCTGGAGCGCATGTCTTCAGCACAATTGGCAGCATTCCGCTAGGCCCAATTATCTTGTGGATGTCCAGGGAGAGAAGTGCTTTGCGCACTGAGTACAGTGTGAATCGCACATCAGGCGCATAGAGCATTCACACTGCAGGAAGGTCGGCTTTGTGTTCCCTCCGTCATCGAGAGTCGAATTGGACGCAAAAAGGGTGCCTACAAGGTCGGCTTTCTCTTTTGCGACGTGGGCCAGTGAGTCGTCCTCTCTGTGCAGAGATGGTAGTGATAATTTACAGAAATTCTCTTGGACAGCCTTGGCGAGAGACCAGAATGCGCGGGTTTCCGAAGGAAAGCAAACTAATTTATCGCCAATTCCGCCAATACTTTACTCATACTTTGCCTTGGAAATAACCCTTTTGAAGGACCTGGAGGCGAAGTTATACTTTTTTTTGAGCATGCTGGTGTTTATATCAGCCCAGACCTGATAACACTCCTACTTACTGCGTAATGCAGTCTTACAAGAGCGATCAAACCAAGGTTGAGATCTGCCTCCGATGGGTACCATAGAAGATGAAATAAATAGTTCCGTTCCCTGTAGCACCAAATCAGTGAGAGAGTGCAACAGCTTTGGGATCATCTGGCGAAAAGCAAACCCGCCCTAATAGGTAGGATGCATAGAACGACCGCATTCCGTCCCAATCTACCGACCTTTAATGCCAAACATGGCGGCAATTTCCAGATCGCAACCGCGAAGGGAGCGTGAGTAGCACCACACTCCGGATCAGACAGTGTTCCGAAGTGCCGAGAGGGGCGTCGACTGAAACCCGATATCCGTCCGGATGAGAGGTCAGCAAAAGGTTCAACAGGGAAGTTGTATGATCCTTCACATCTGGAATCCGCGTAGGCGAAGTAACAAGTTGTGTCAGACTATATGCGCAGGGTAAAGTCAAACAAATCTCCCTGCGTGATTGGTTAAACATGAATTGGGCCATTCGGCGTGGTGGACGTTAAAATCGCCAAGTATCACGATCTCTACGGATGGGATATGTTGTAGTAAGAAATCTGTAGCCATTTGGAAGTGGTCGATGAGTTCGTCTGTTTCAGCATTACCGCTATGGGACCTATAGAGGCTCCTGTAGACGCGGGGATGGTTGTCGCTGTCTACGCGCAGCCAAAGGATGGACAGGGCCGACCTTCAAGACTGCCGAGGCTTCGAGAACATATATCCTGACGTATACACAAACTCCAGCCCGGGACACAAAGAAATGTTCTAATTTGTAGCCCAGGGAGAATAGGTACGAAGTATCGGCCTATCAGCTAGAGACACCTGCGTCTCGGTCAAAAAGAGAAAGGCTGGCTTCAGCGTCTCCAGATAGTAGAAGACGTCATTAAGGTTTGGGCGAATTCCCCTGATATTGCAGAAGTCCACGGATAGCGTAATAGGAGTCGCCATGGTTTTATCTCCCGAAAACGTGGGCAGCCTGAGCACCCACACTCAGGAAGAAGAGGGCAGCTTGACCGTGAATGCTCAGTGAGGTATTCTCCATTACCAGGGGTACTGGTTCCCTCCTGGGGTAATCTTTTCTTATCGAATTCCGCTACCATGTTATGGGGGAGAGGGACTTGGGCCTCCGGCAACCTGCACTAATCAAACGAAACATAGAGAGAGCGTTCTGTGAGATCATGGTACTTCCGGTACGAGACGGCCCATCCGTGCTACATCAGAAGCTGCAGCGTGGCTCTACCACTATTAAAAATATACTAATGACTCAAATTATCTTAAAGCCCACCTTCCCGCGGCTTAGTATCGATAATTCAGTCTGCGATTGCGACGATAAGTCGCGGATACCATTCCTTTAGAACCTTTACCGCACGTGAACCCTACAGATCGATAGTCTCTTTAGTAAATGGGCACAACCATGTAGTCATTTCACAGCGATTTTTTATTAATTTATGTTTCATAAATAATATTTGAATATTTTTATTTTCAATCACCTTTGATCGATGTTAAAAAAAAAGGTAATAAAAATGTATTGAGTGCATTTAACATTAAAATGCTCGATCGGTTAATGAACGGAACATAAAAACTATAATGCCTTGTTTCATTACAATAGTACTTCCGTAGAATAGTGAAGTGATGATTAGTGCAATGCATTTATTTCATTTAATTTTGATAATTTTGTGTTTTGTATTAGGATGTAGTTTAGGACATTTGAAAGATATGGGGGAAGTTACATTAAACTGGACTGTTGAATGGGGCAATCTAGAAAGTAAAATAGTCGGGGGTACACCAACGGATCTAAAGCGATATCCGTTTAATGTCCAGTTTTTTAATCATGGCGGAATGTGTGGTGGCACCATTCTAACCAGCAAAACTGTGTTGACGGCGGCTCATTGTTTTGATTTCAACCGTAATATTGCGTCAATGATTGTGTTGTCGAGTGCGTTTACATTGCACTGCAATTATTATTAAAATAAATAAATATGCGCATTAGTTCATACTTAGGTTAATAGTACTCAGTGAACAATCACATAAGCTGTGTAAAATTTGAGTGAAAGTTTAAACTTTAATTTTAAATTAAATATAATTTATTTTTATAAATTGCCGGCTATAGCCAGATATAATGATAACACATGAAAGGTGGATTGATGATTGCAGAACACGACGCTACGCATTTTTAGCGATGCTTTACATTCAGCACGAGTAGGAAAGGACCACGTTTTCACAGAATATATTATAATAATAAAATATAACTAACTAGCTGGCCAGGCAGATGTTGTTGCGTCCTTTTCGACGACTTCTTCTTCCTGTAAAAATCTTTAACATCGCATTAAAAAATATTGAGGGTTACTTATCGGGATATAAACTATCCTATCTCTTAAGTAGAACCAAACTGCACACAGTGTGCAAAATTTCAATGAAATCATTTCAATAGTTTAGGGGTTCATCGCGGATAGACAATGTCACACGTAATTTTAATATATAAAAATATTTCAGAAAAAAAAACATTAACCTTTATATTCTGCTAACTTCCTGGTTATGAAATTTGTCAAAAATTTCACCTCATTCTTAAGTGGTGGTGTCAGAAAAAATCGTAGATGCACTGATTGTCGCATCACCACCAACTACCTCTTCTTTTCTCCTATCTCTTTTTGGCTCGTGGCTTTATCAGCATTATTAACGTTGTTGAATTATATTCCAAAGAGCTGCTGATCGCTTAGACGAATGATTTCGGATTTTTTATAGTATAGGTTGACAAACGAGCACACAGTCCACCTGATGGTAAGTGGTTGCTATGACCCATAGACATCTACATCTATCCTCAATAAAGAATCAAAATGCAGATGCCTTGTCACCCGTGAGGACTTAGATGGAATGCCTCTTTTCCAGTAAAAAGGTCTGCGGTTTTCTGCGTTCACCATACGAAACACAGCAGTGTTAAGCTGCTATTTTACGCTGGTATTCTGTGAGAGTGTTCTATTTTACGCTGGTATTCTGTGAGAGTTGTTAGTTGGTGCACGAATGGGTCGGCTCGACCCTTCCCCGGCCGAGCCGACCCATACGTGCTACAACTATACTACTAAAAGAAATCATATTGAGAATCGAAGTGTTCCATTTTAACCTATTCACTGTCCCGTTCATTACATAATATAGTTCATTGCTATTGTCTTACTATTCTTAAAATTTTAGATTCTCGCTTTGTTTTCGATCTCAAAGCTCGTTCTCATGAAGTTTGGGATTATAAAATACACGAACATTATAACGAAACCATTGTATTTTCTAACGATATAGCTATCATATTGATTCACGATCAATTTAAGTTTGACAGCACAGTTAAAAGAGCTGTCTTATGTGATAATGATAATTGGATGAACGAGAAAGAATTATTTGATGCGACTGGCTGGGGTGATATTAAGGTAAAAAAATAAATAACATAAAAAATTTGTACATTGTATTCCTTTCTATTGTGAATTAATTTAATGTTTAAACAATAGTATGGGGGCGATACATCGAAAACTGGTTTGATGCATACACAATTGAGATTTATTTCAAGGGAAAGTTGTAATACATATTACAGGGGTTTTTTGAGTCCAGACATGTTTTGTTTGTATGGCGACGGAAAAAGAGACACCTGTCAAGGAGATTCGGGTGGAGGAATAGTGTGGAAAAAGTAAGACTTAATAAATTACACTCAACATCATTATTACTAATTTTGTAAAGTAAAAATAAATGATTGTTTTGCAGCATCATAGTTGGGATTGTATCACACGGCAGAGGATGTGCCGTTACACCCGGTATTTATACTAATGTGTTCTTTTTCAAGTCATGGATTCGTAGTGCTGTCGAAGTATTATATGAAAGGCATTGCCTATTCCATAGAAATTCGCTTCAAGATATAACATAAAATTATCCAATAATCCAGTGCAATTAATTTTTTTTTAAGTTTAAAATTGCCTGTATTACATCGAATACCATTAAATTTGTTTATTGCTTTAAATAAATGTGTGATAAAAAATTAATCACTCCAAAGTAATTATTAGTTTGTTTATGTACCATTTACGTACTAATTTTTAATAGCATCTATACGAAAAATTACGTTACTATATTATTTTCAATCGATATTTAGGTTTCTTGGCAATGAAATTTAGCGCTCTTGTTGCTGTAGTGCAGGGATGTCTATGTGTTAATATTAATGAAGTATGGAGAGATAATACGTCCCGTTCTTTAGATGAAGTCGAGGGTAAGATAGTAGGGGGAAAACCAATCGCGATCGAAAAGTTACCGTTTGCAGTGCAGTTTTATAATTTTGGTAACATGTGTTCTGGTGTTATCCTAAATAGCTGGTCTGTACTCACAGCTGCGCATTGTTTTGATAATAACAAGAATATTTTTGATATGGTTATTGAAGCTGGTTAGTACTCATATGGTTATAACTTTTGTGAATAAAATATTAAATTATAAGATAAATTAAATTACTTATTAAATTAAAATAGGAATGTTTACAAAATTAATGTAATCCTTACATATTCATTAAACACAGATCAAGAAGTAAATCTGTACCCAATATATACACACCAACAGAATCTAGGGATACCTTAATCCTAAATTATTTACGACTTTATAGTTAAGAATCTTTTAGTTCCAATAAGAAGTTTATATATAGATTGAAACCTCTTTTATTCTGTTTTCAAAATTTAAAAATGTAAATAACAAAAAGAAAATATGGCGGCAAATTGTTAGTAATTCTTTACGTCAAGGAAAATTAAAATTGTTCTATTGATATTAATTAATGAAAAGGGATTAGATTGTTTTTCTTTTTTAATTTAACGTGCCTTGTGAGCTTTAACAGTTATGTCACGTCGACATTTGAGTCGAGATGAAATGTTACGAGCCGTGGGAATGTTAGAAAATGGTGCAATGCGTCGTTGCTGAGGCCCTACACAACAGCCAAAACGTGATATCAAGGTTTTGGTCACGTTATCCCCAGATGTGGCTGAACAGCACCCGGGTAGATATCGTGTTACTACGCAGAGACAGGATCGATTTCTCCAAATGTCTGTCAGAAGACAATCCAATATCACAGCGATGCAACTACTACAAAGACTCCAGGAGAACCACCAGCTGCTGGTAAGCGACCAAACCGTGCGAAGAAGGTTGCATGAAGTTGGTCTACATGCTCGAAGACCGCTACGTGTTCTAGCAATGCGACGTGACAATCGCGATCGGCTGCTTTCATGGGCTCGGGGGCATTTACCATGGAATGAGGAACGATTTCACCGATTCATCCGTGAACAACACCGAAGACCATAGTCTTCGGTAGTCTTCGGTGTTGTTCACCGATGAATGTCGGTTTGGTTTTCATCTGAATTCACGAAGAACACGCGTTTGGTTAACTCCAGGGAGAGTTAGCCGTCTACGGCACACTCAGGACTCACAACTCATACCAAGGCAGGACAATCATGGTGTGGGCAGGAATTCGTTTCGGCAGATGAACTCAGCTCATTTGGATCCAGGGCAGCATGACTGCACAAAAATACCACGAGGAGATAGTAGAGCCTGTTATTGTCCCACACAGAATCCAAATGGGAGAGAAGTTTCTACTCATGCACGATAATGCTCCTATATTCAAGTTTTGGATTGGCCTGCATAGTCGATCATATCGAGCATGCCTGGGACATATTACAATGAAAAGCTTTGAGAGATATCCCGCCAAATTTGACGACGGAGCAACATCTTTACAAACACTGCAAAGAACATGGGACCTCATACCGCAGCAAGACATTGACAATTTAATTTTAAGTATGAACAATCCATGTCGATGTGCAAATTAATGTAAGAGATGGCAAGACTGATTATTGATAATTACATTTTATAAGATTTTTTCAATTTTAATTAAAATTAATAGTTTTATAAGAAGAAATGAAAATTCTTATCATACTAATTTTCTACGGCGATTAAAAAAGTTAAAATTTTTATTTAAAACAAAAAAATTACAAAATGTTTTTTATTTTTTCTTAAAGAACTTAAAATAACCAGAAAATTCTTCATAGATTTTTAGGTATTTGATGAAATATAAAATATCCCTAGATTCTGTTGATGTGTTTATTCCAAGGAGCAAGTACAAAGAGGAGGTGTTGTAATTAGATTCCACTATGTAACAACGCGTGACAATTTTCGGGGTGAGAGGGCTTTTTATAACTTACTTTACTTAAGAAAAAAGTTCAGCACTGAACTTTAAAAATTAAGAAAAAAGTAAGGATGATAGACTAGCATGCAGCCCACCTGATAGACGTTAGTCGTCACACCTAATAACTGAAGGGGAATGTTTTATTGTCAGTAAACAGGGTCTTCGGGTTTCTTCAATCTTATTACGAAACAAAGGTAGTGTGGTTACCAACGCACTTGTTATATTATTTGGAAATAGAGTTCAGTGCTTTTCGATGGTTGCATAACTATCCGTCGGTCACCAAAGCCTCGTTCGTCAAGCAGAGTGCGGATGAGATTGACATTTGAAGAAAATGTTGAACCATACCTTATATATAATGATAATGAAACCTTTTTATGAATTTTGTTTGTTTTGATCTAAATTGTCGCTTATCTATTATATTTATATGTTGATGTAACTACCACATTAGGCAGCCGATATATGTTTGATTACGAAGCCGATGTGTACGAAGTGAAGGATTTCGTGATTCATAAAAATTACAGCCAAGCGATGCGGTTCGCGTGTGATATTGCGATTATATTTGTGAATCGACAATTCACGTTTGGAAGTAAAGTGAAAAAGGCTCTGCTGGTAACACATTCAAAGTGGATGAAAGGGACCGAAAAAAAATTTGTTGTAAACGGTTGGGGGTGGATAAAAGTAAGTATTCGAGACTTTTTTTGCAATTTTATTGATTAAGGCTGATAATTTTAATTGATGATATTATAGTTCATGGTTTTTATTATAGAATAAGAGTGACACACGAGCACACAGTTCACCTGATGGTAAGTGGATACTGTGGCCCATAGACATCTACATTTTTTAAAAAAATAAATAAAAAATACTAGTAATGTCATTAAACATTACTAATATTCCCTTTAACCACTTCTGGTAAACTTAAATGCTTGTGTTAGAAGTGGTTCACGACAGTAGTCGAATGGCGGATTCGAACCCACGACCTTTCGAGTTCGCGGTCTGCGCCCTGCCATTAGGCTACTGACGCTTCATTTATTCAATTATTCTTGATTAAGAATCAAAATGCAGATACGTTTTCACTCCTGAGGTTTAAGATGGAATGCCTATATCCAGTAAAAAGGGTGTCCGGTAACATATACACAGCAGCATTAAGCTGCTATTTTACACAGGTATTCTGTGAGAGCGTGGTCGTCCTACCCCGGTCGAGCCGACCCATTCGTGCTACAACTACAATATAGCTGCAGCATGACTCTACTATGTAATGAAATTATAAAATTCAGTTTCCACTTACACTTACTTCCAGCCGTTTGATTTTTTTGAAATTTTGCTTTTGATATGTTAAGAACCTGACATTACAATAATTTCATGACCATTACAAGAACATTACAAGATACAAGCTGTGATGATCATAGTGAGTATTCTCACTATGATCATATACTCACTATGATCATCACAGCTTGTGACAAATGGGTGTTTTTAAGTTTTCTTAAACTATTATTTAATTCTTATTATATAAGACTCATAAATCATTCAAAGAATAAAAAAGAGCCCTTATTTCTTAAAACCAGAATGTGAAATTTAAATAGAATGTTTTTAATTTTGACTTGCATGTAAAACGGCACGTTCACATCGAAATTACAAATTATAAATATTTACGGTAGAGACATAATAATAATTTATTCGGATATTCTTAGTAGATACATAGTGCATGGTAGATACGTAAATGCAATAGATCTGTGAGCTAAATGCATTAAAATCGGCTACAACATGTTCACCGGGTAAGGCATGCAAAAATTAACATTTTACATGAGATCCGACTAGGTAAGTCCAACTTCGACCGAGACGTCAATCGACGGATTCAACTCGGCTGGGCAGCGCTCGGGAAACTACGACACATCTTCTCGTTAGACATACCTCAAAACCTGAAAACGAAATTGTACAACCAGTGCGTGTTGCCAGTGATGACTTATGAATCTGAGACGTGGTCCTTCACTGCTGGCCGTATGAGGAAGCTCAAGGTCGCTCAGTGAGCTATGGAGAGGGCTATGCTCGCGATGTCTCTGCGTGATAAACTTAGAAATGAGGATATCCGCAGTAGAACCAGAGTGACCGACATAGCCCAACGGATTAGTAAGCTGAAGTGGCAGTGGGGCGGCCATATAGCTCGAAGAACTGACAACCGATGGGGAAGAAAGGTTCTCGAGTGGCAGCCTCGTACCGGTAGGCGAAGTGTAGGGCGTCCCCCCACTAGATGGAGTGACGAGCTGGTGAGACATGCAGGAAGTCGATGGATGCAGGTGGCTCAGGACCGTGCTTTGTGGCATTCCTTGGGGAGGCCTATGTTCAGCAGTGGACTTGTGAAGGGCTGTATGATGATGATGATGAGGTACATACCTCATACACTTTGACGTTGACATGCAATATTAGTATTTATGTGATATTTAATACTATAATTCTTAGATTTAATAAAAATAAGAACTTTTATTATTTCTGGAACTCATTTATATTATAAACACATTTTGTTAGGGGCCAATACTTAAGATAGTATATACATAAAGCATTTATTTTGTATCTTCAATCACACGTATGTATATTCAGTGACAAAAACTAGGTACTAACTAACTTATTACATAAGGCTATATAATAGTTAGATATAAAAATGGGTGTGTTGCAGTTTAACAAATGGGACCAAGCTCACCGATATTGCTCAGAGAGCGAACACTGATTTTTAACTATTAACCTCGCGATGATGAGAAGAAAATGAGCACAATTGAATAATCAGTGTTAGTATTTATGAATAATGTGCCCCTTCTGTCCTAGTTCTTTAGTAGAATTTCTGAAACGGCATGTATTGTGTAAGATTGCATATAAGTGAAAACAAGCTAAAGGCTTAACCAGTTTTTTTTATAGGATAAGGGTGACAAACAAGCACACAGTCCACCTGATGGTAAGTGGTTGTTGTGGCCATAGATATCTACATCTATCTTCTATTACGAATCAAAATGCAGATGCGTTGTCACCCTTAAGGACTAAGATGGAATGCCTCGTTTCCAGTACCAAGGGTCTAAGGTTAGCCACATTCCCAATAGGAAACACAGCAGCTTTAGACTGCTATTTTACGCTGATATTCTGTGAGAGCGTGGTCTTTCCCCAGTCGAGCCGACCCATTCGTGCTACAACTTTACCACTAATATAGCTGCACCATGGCTCTACCCCGTAATGGCTTGGCATGGCTCACCAGTCATGATGAGTTAGCGGAAAAAAATAAGATAGCATGATTTAAAGATGGCGAACTAAGTGTTCGGGAATACCTTGTTTTTGTGTATCTAGAGTATAGACAAGATAAATTTTGAATTTATTTTTAAAAATGGTATTTGGTATTTGTAATTTGGTAATTGACCTTAAAATTGGTTTTAAATATGCCAATCTGCAAATTATTTCCTTTATCTCAGACGGCAGTATGTTTAATATCTTTATCGACACAGAATAATAGCTAACATAAGAATAAAGTCTAACATAGAGTAATTAGACTACGAGTACATATGCGGTCTATGACAATTTTATCACATTTCATGTTGTCCGCTGGTAGACATCGCTCTATTTATTCATCGTTTCTATTATTTTTTGTGTGCACAGTAACTTCAAGAATAAACGCATATAGGACTTATGTCATATAGATGCAGTTAAGGCTCTGATACATTCTTTTCCAGCCAGAACTTTTACCCTAGATAAACAATCCATGACCCAAAACTGTTACGTTTCTGTGGTAAGCAGTAATCGCCATTAAAATTGTTGGCGTTTTTCTTAATCTCCACATAACATACTCGTACACAAGTTTTTGGCAAAGCATTGAAACTAGGATAAGTATATGTAAATTGTATTTATTTTTCAACGTAATCGCCTTTTAAGCTAATACACCTTGAATAGAGATGATAAATGACTAAGGCAAGTTACCCTGCTGGACATAGGTGTAGTAGATATAGGTACTTTATTTATTAATTATTTATCGACAATTTATCATTGTACCTAAACCTTCTGTATGTATGCTATTTGTCCTATCATCTACGTTATTTCTTCTGCTTATCAATTATATGTGCAAACCAGTAAAATTCATTGCTTTGCGGATGGCAGCACTAGTGATTCTTTTTACACGCGCCAATATTTCTCGGGAACACGTCGAGTACCGGGTTAAAGTCGAGTTTTTGACCATTAAATCTTAAGCTTTGCTTTCAGAAGACACAGGTTTGCGCGTTTACCGCTAAAAAGAACTCATTTCTCCCCTTGCTGCCTCAGCCAGCATCAATTTCCTCGGCATCCACATATCGAATGACCTACAGATGCACGGTTACTTATAAGGGAAGACTAAATTTATATCTAAAAAATTTGGCGTGCTCAAAGAACCAACTGACGAAGAGAGCTCGTTCAAGTGGGCACATAACTTAGGTCATCATACCACATTTGATCATATCGTGTGAGTCCGTCTACTGGCGATGTAAGAATATCCATTACGCTATATCATCTCGTTAATATCGTAAGAGGTGACAAAGGGAAACAAAGCAGAAAATAAAATAAAAACTGCGGTTACCAATCCGCCTATGCAACTATGGCAAATAACCCCTTTATGAGCAATCTATAGGAATACCTATGTACAGCAGTGGACGTTGACATTTTGTAATTATTATATTGATGATATCATGTTAATGTACTAGATTGTTTTCTCTTCATATATATACTTGTAAGTAGGTAGGTAATAAATATGGTTTGTGCATTTTACACAATTCTAAATAGTAGGTTTTTATTAACTTGGCTTGTAATTATGTCTAAAAAAAAACATCATTGATCACTGCTGCCCACGAACATTTCCAACGCCAAAGGAATTGTAGTTGCGTTGCCGGCCTATAAAAAAGCAGTAGGCTCTTTTCTTGGAGGTCAATAAATCTATCGGCATGGAAAAAGCGTGACAGTAAATCAAAATCAGAAAGTTCAATTAATTAAAGTATCACTTGATTTTGTCACGTTTTATTCGCACATTATTAACGTGTAGGTATAAAGTGAGAACACGAAAGTATCACTTGATTACTGAAAGAAGTTGTACTGCTTTTATCGAAAATGCTCTAATCTTCAGAATACAATAGTGGCTTAAATATATATCACGCGGTCATCAAATATAATGCATGATTTTCTGATATTGATCACGTTCAAAGATGGAATAAATAAACTATTCATATTCTAGTAGTCATTGATAAATCACTCAAAAGTGTAAATCGTTTTATCGAGATAACGAACACATAGTATGTACACATATCTCGGTGACATGAAACTCGCAAATTCTAATTGTCTATCTCCTTTCTGGAACATGTGCTGTTTCCTTAGAATAACGAATTGTTTGTATTTTAAGCCAATAATTTTCGATTATTGTTTTCTAACTGCATTTTCTTCTTTTATATTTGAATATTTGCCTTCATTCCTAAATAACTCATAGAATTGCTAATTGTAGTTGTATAGGTGAATAATAACATAAAGAACGGAAAAGTAATGACAAGCATCAAATTTTTAATTTATTATCGTAGAATGGCGGCCCAATAGAGTCCGAAGAGATAAAAGATTGGTTCGGATCTCTTATATCATTTTTTTTGTCTTATATTATTACTTTTTTCTCATCTTAACCGGACCGATAAGGACAT